AGGCATGGTCAGAGGTCCAGCAGCAGACACGGGCAGGAGCGGGAAAAGACTGCACCAGGGAGAGGAACATCGAGAAAGGGACCAAAGAGCTCCCAGAACTACAAAGCATCACAGCAGCAACTCGGCCACCACCCCAGGAGTGACGCAGCCCCCTGCCAAGCCCATGGACCCCGGTCCATGACACAGCGAAAGCCCAGCCCCTCGTCCTCCTCCAGCCATTCCCAGTCCTGCTATGTGTGTGCTACAAGCACATTCAAAGCATGTTTTTAGTTTTAAACCTTGCATTTTGCATGCTCACAGCGGCCACCCCAACCTGCACCGGTGGGCCCGACCTCCCAGGTGGGCCCCAGAGATGGTCCAGGTGGTGTTAAACCAGGCACAGGTCTGCCTGCCCCCACCCAAGGATTTCACCCTTTGTCTTTCAGATGAAGCCTCCCACCTCAGCTCCTTGGCTCCCCACCCTAAAACCAGGCCAAGGATCCTTCTGCCCTGCCCATGACGGGCTGGAGGATGCAGTGCTCCCCATGCAGGGCCGTCTCAGGCTGTGGGGCTCAGCTCCAGGGGACCTTCTAAGCAGGGACGCCACAATGAGCAACAGCGATACCCCAGGTCCCTCGTCCAGCACCAGCAGGGACGTGGCCTGGCTACGGCAACCAGAACTGAGACGTAAAAAGCACTTTACACTGTGGTCATGTTATCCCCTCGTCCCTCCCCCTCATCCCCTTCAGAGCTTCTTAACTTCAGAAACCTTTCTCCAGAGGAGTGTTGGAGTGACAGAAAACATTTTCCAAGCCTAAATATCAGTTCCAGATGTTCACAGCCATTTCAGTTTGTACCTCACCCTGTAAAACACATTTCTCCCTCTCCCTCTCTCAAGTGCAGCGCCTGCTTCGTCCATGACATAATGCGCTGGCGGGCTCGGCCGCGCACACACACACGTTCGCGCCCTCTTCGAGAGCCCCGTGTTCAAACAAAGAGCATCACTCAACTACAAAGCCGTCGCACACATAGAGTTACGAGTAATTTCCACAAGTTTTAATAAACAGTTTGGGATGTAATTGCTCTCCGTCTTCTCTGCTGGCTCCCGAGCGGAGAGCCGCTCGCTCCCCGCGCGCTGGCGTTGAAAGCGTGGTTTGTTTCACACACAAGTTCACCTCCTATTAGCCTCAGATGGTCCAAGGGCTGTGTTTTTCTAAGCACCAGTAATAAGCCTCTTTAAAAAGCACGTACAGCCGGGGGCAGCCGGCCCACGTGAGCTCCCGGCTCCTTCCACCCTGTCCCATGGCATCGCCGCCCCGTGGGGAGCCCGGCAGGGAGCAGAGGGGATGCACGTTAGACCAGCCTCAAAACTCCCTCCTGACTCCTCCAAGAAGAAGAGGAGCAAATATTTTCTGGCTTAAGGGAAAGGCTACATCTTCCAGTTGCAAAGCAAGGGGGAGGCCAAGGAGTTTTGCAAGGGTGAGAGACTGGAGGTTTTTGGGGGGCAGGAGGAAGGCAGATTAGGCAGGGGCCAGGTACCATCTAGCTTGTCATGGGGCTGAGGAGCAGGTTGGCACAGCTCTAGCCCCAGCCAGTGCCAGGAATCCCAGTAAGAAATGGCTACAACTGCAATAAACCAAACAAAACTCCTGTACAAGCACAAATAAGCCACACATTTAAACTCTAGAGATCCAAGGGATGAATGGCAGCAGCCTCAAGAGCCCTCAAACCTTGCAGGATCCTCCCAGCCCAGCACTGCCACACTCTGCAAATACCCGTGCTGCACCTCCCAGCAACGGGAGCAACCTGCTCCCGCCTGCCAGTAGCCAGGAGACCGATGGGGAAGGAAGATCTGCCAATATCCATCAAAAGCCATCCAAACTTCATATCCCACACCCCCTTCCCAAAGCTTCCCCTTTCTGGGGTTGACTTATTGTTTTGTGGATGCTGCTCAGATGTGATGGAGATGTGGTGCAGCATGATGGGTGGGTGATGGTGGTGCGTGGATACCCATGGTAGCAGTTTTGCCTGGGTGAAGCACGGTACCAAGCGAAGCCTTTGAGAGCTGTAGCAGTCAGCATCTCTGCAAACCTATGCAAGGTATTTGCAAGAATCAAGTCATCTGGCATTAGGGGCCTGTAGGGTAAGAAAGGAATGAAGACAGGAATGTTGTTTGGTTATAAACAACATAAAAAAAAGGGAGAGATTTAGGATTGGCTTTTCTCTTTAATTGTTAATGGGGTCATTCTGTCCCGAACAGTCCCCCAGAGCAGGGAGAGGGGAGGGCAGCTCCCCACAATGAATTCAATCACCTGTCAAACACATGGCAGTCATAAAAGGAAAATAATAATAATAATCTGTATTTCCTACTCTGGCTGCCAGGCAATGGTCCAGCCACTTCAAAGGAGAAACTCCACGTTTCCCCGGTCTGGCCTCACCTGACCGATGTGTGAGCAATCTGGAATCCCCATCCCAAACAAAGCCCCTCCTTTGGTGGCTTGTTTTCTTTCTCTGTTACTGGAGGGTGCCCCTCCAAGATAAAGAACAAGCCTTCTTCCATGCTGGGAAACTAGAACATAACCCAGGGGCCACGGCCACATCGGGCAGCTCTGGAAGTGGATGCTGGCAAAGTGTAGGAGAAAGCTCCTGCGGGACAAGACTGGTGTATGAGCCAGGAACCAGAGCTCCTTCTCGCAGGGGTCTCCACAAATAACCGGGGGCCCACAGGATATGGGGCTCTGGCTCTCTCCAGCAGGAAAAGTCCAGCTCTTGTAGCACAAAAGTTTTGGATATGGTGGTAAAAGGGGCTGTAGAAGCAGAACAGATGGGCCCAAGATGAACAGAGAGGGTGAAAACCTGCCTGTGGCTGTGAGCTGGAGCAGTTTGCTCTGTGGCAGCTCATGGCAACAGAGGGCATGGCTCAGAGGGTCTTACAAAATTAGCGAGGAGAAGAAAAAAGCCACCAACACAAGCTGAGAAAGCTTCCGACCAAGACCTGTGTGCAACTCCTGATCTTGCTCTGAATGATCTTCCCGAGAGTGCCTTCCCGACAGGGAAACACAGACAAACGTCTTGCCAGGATGTCCGGGAAGCCCCTGCAAGACTGCATGAGCGCAGCGAGGTTCCCCCCTCCAATGCCAGCCCTGTCCCCACCTTCAGTCTGGCTCCTTGTCCTTGCAGGCAGCCCGGACATGCACATCTCCCATAAGCTGACCAAGCTCCACCTTAAAACAAACGAGGTTTTTAACCACCCAAAGCAGTAGCTGTTGCAGAGCTTTGCTCCAACGACAGGTGGAAACCTTCTTCCTATGTTCCCTCATCTAGCAGGAGCTGAAATTAGGTGCTGCCAGCATCTGGGGGAAGGAGCCTTCACACAAAGGTAAATCTTTGCTTCGGTCAACAACACTGGCTGCCCCCGACATGCCACATGAGCTTCTTTAACAAACTACATCCAAAATCCTCAAGCAAAAGGCAGTAGGAGGTTTTGCCTGGCTTTCCACACAGCAGTAGCATCACTCAAGGTCTCAAGTGCTATTTTCTGAAATACATCATTGATTCACCCAAATCAAATCGCATCCTTCACACCCCTCCACCTTGCCCAGCAGCTCCTGGAGCATGGCTTGAATTGCTGACAAAGCCTTTGCAAGGCACAGAGCGCGCAGTCTAAGCCTGAGCTGGGAACCAAACTCCAACCCAGGGAATTTTCAGGTTCCCCTGGAGAAGTTTTGTGCTGCTTAAATGATCTCCCTAAATATTGCAGGCTTTGAGTTACTTCCATAGGCGTGCAAGGCAAATTAACGTGTCCTTTCAAAGGCTGGCATGCAATGCAGTACTCACTGGAACGGACCAGTAAAGCCCTCGAGTTGTTGAGGGCTGACCTTCCTCTCACACCCACCATCCTGTAGCATTTCAGACTGATCAGATCAAACAGCCTCTTCAGTCAGAAACTCCAACTCACAGCTCTCCTACCCAAAAAGGCCAAATCATTTCCTTCTGCCACGCTGTGTTTTTGTATTTCCCCTTCTCCTCAAATACCCCTGCCTGCAGAAGCCTTCAGAAACCTCTCCTGAATGGAGCGGTTTTGATACCTCATATAACACCTTGGCTCGATGCACTGTTCTCCACAAAAGCAGCAGCTCCCAGCCAGGCAGGGCACAGGATGCATCACCGTGCACCCTCTGCACCAAGAGGAGCTTGCCCTCAGCAGCCGCACCCACCTGTGTAGAGGTCCGTGTCCGTGTACTCATCCACCTTCTTGTGCTGCAGGACATAGTCAGAGACCTTCGTCCCAATGGCAGGCTGCACATCCAGCCACTCCAGAGAGACCACGGTGCTGGAGGGCTCCATGCTGGGGGAGAGCCGCAGGCTGGGTAGGAGACAGGAAAGAAACCAAATAAGACATCAGCTCCCTTTTGAGGCGGGAATCCACCTCTACAAGCAGCACAACCCCTGGCAGGGCTTACACTCATACACAGGGATGGGCAGACAGACCCACAAGGACGGGGGGCACAAGGGGAGAGCAGGTAGGTGAGCAGGGAAGAAGTTCCAGCTGAAGGTCAGTTGGGTCCAGCCTACTGCAACGTGTGTCCTTACCTCCCCCTGGCTCCTGGAAAAGCCTAGGTCATGCAACTGCAACCACACAATCCCAAATATCCTGTGTAAAGGAGCCTTCGTCTCCTGGGAAAACTGCTGAACTTCAGCAGCCCCACAGGGAGCCAAGGACCAGCTGCCCAGGAGCAAAAGAGAAGGAGAGGATCCAACTTAACCTTCACACAACCCAGCGGGGTTGAGTCTCCAGGAGGGGAGGGTCCAGCCTGCATTGCCAGGGAGCAAAGGCGAGGGAGGGCGGGAGAGAAAGGGCAGGTGGGGCTGTGAATTTACCCAGCTGCAAATGAGCAAGCCTCTGATGGGTGTGAGCAAAAGCCAAAGCAGGGCAGCTGTGCAGGAGCTCCTGCCCGGATCAGGGACCACGTGGGTAGGAGTAAAGGCAGAGCAGCTTTGTGCTCCTGGCCGCGCTAGTGCAAAGGCATCCGCTCTCTTTGCACCGGGGTAAATGACAACACAAAGTACAGAGCTACAGAGAGTCCGGCTCCAAACATACGAGCGTGTTTGTTGAACTCAGGATGGGAAATGAATCCCCTCTGAGGATATTGGCTCACTAAGAAGGTGTTCTGCTCCTTGTGGCTCGCTGGAGCCAGTCTTCCTGCTTTCTCAGCTAATTTCCCATCAGTTTGCTCCTGATTTGCTTTTGCTCTGACAAGCCACAATGAATTGCTCCGTAATTCCATTTCTTTCAGCATTTGAAATCCCATTCTACAAGCCCTGCTAATCAGGTGATGAAAATCTATAAGGAAACCTTCCAGGGCCACAGCCGGAGCCAGGATATCCTAAAGGCATCAGTCACACAGTGAGGAGCGCTGGACTGCGGCCCCGGGGCTCGAAGGCGAGAGGAAGGAGGTGCCCGTGGGCTGAGCCTGCGGGAAAGGGGCTGGTGCCGGGGGGGCCGTGACCCGCGGGAGGGGCTCGCACCGATACGTACACAGGCGGAGGGAGAGGGCTGCAGTTCGGAAGTCCGTTCTCATCGAAGGCGTTGAGGTCACACCTGCACCAGTCTTCAATAACATCGCCTTTCCCTGAGCACCAGTATGAGCTCATCAGGGCTGCCTTGAAAGCCTGATGTGAGAACAAAAAGCGTGAACACATGTGCTAAAGACTCGGTGAAATCCGGCCAGCGGCTCGGCTGCACGGTGCTGAGCGTCAGGGGTGCGTGCGCAGAGCCCCGGGATTGGGAAATACAGCTCTGCCACGGACTGTCTGCATGGCCCTGGGCAAGTCCCTTCACCTCCCTGTGCTTTAGCTCCCACCTATCGAGTGATGCTGGTCCATCCCTGGGTGTTGCTTTTGGTGTGGGGACGGGGAGCGTCTGCACGACCCTACCAGGGGATCTCCTGTGATGGAGGACTGAGCTGGCTGAAGAAACACAAACGTAAGCCCATTTGTGACACTGGACATCATACGCAGGGTACCTTTCCACTGCTGCTGTGCACAATGAAACTCTTCCACGTGCCCATCCTGGAGCTGTTTCTGTCCCCGCTAAGAATAAAGTAATTCCTACATCCCCAACAACACAGACCACTTCCATCCTTCTCAGAGGTTTGTTATTCATACGAGCTGCCCTCCTGCAAGCAAATTGCTGCTTTATTCACTTGCGTAAGGAATACTCACAAGCAAAACAGCAGTATCTGGAAGAAAAAAATAAAATCCTGTAAAATACTTGCAGGCTGTCCCCAGCCTGACCAGCAGCCCTCCCGACCACTCCTAATGATGGCAATAGATCCCCAGAATAACAGCAGTTCATCTGCTGGGGTCTGAGGCTGAAACACTTTGACTGAATTCCCAAAGCCCTCCGGGTCTAACCCCGCAGCATCTTCCCTGTGGTCATCCCGCAGCTCGGCGTGCTCGGAGACGGTCTCCACGCTGCAGGATGGGGCATCCCTCGCTCCGTACCCTGCTGTAGTTCAGACTGCATGGATTTACGGTGGTTTCTCCTGCCACCCTTTGCCTGTCATGCCTAATTAAACCTCCAGCTTGAAAGACGGCATCTCTCCCTGCACACACACATGGCCAACGTCCAACCCGACCCTGTGAAGCCACAACGCCCTGCTAGAATAGTAACACCAAAACTTCATCCACTAAAACAAACCTCTTTGTAATGCTTTTGACCTTTTAAAAGGCACATTTTGAGGCTGAAACGCCTTCACGGGTCCTCATCCATGTACAGCAGCCTCGCTGCCAGCCTCCGCGCCGCCCAGCTCGCAGCAGCACTATTCCACCCATTCAAAGCCGCCTGCGGATGCCTGGCCCCGGCGATACCGCCCGCACTGCCAGGTTACGCCTTAAAGATAAAAACGTGCCCTTTGAGGAGGACAGGGACGGCTCCAGCGGCTGTGGCATTTAGCAGAAAACTCTAGGAAAAGCGCCATCCCGGGGAGGTTTCTGAAAAGAGGAGGTATAAATAGAGCCTGACGTCAGGGCTCCCATTGTCCGGGGTTTTGTCGCTCTCCCCAAACACCCCGAGCACCTTTAACGAGGCGCCTCGAGGCTCTCGCGTCTGAAACATTTTCTGCTTCCAGGCATTTACAAAATGGGACTGTTCCAGAAGGAAAAAAAAAAAAAAAGAAAAAAAAGGAAGGAAAAAGCATGTGAAAGAGAGAAAATGTGATGTTATTTTATTTTGTTCTTTGGAATGTAATTGAAGCGGTAGGCTGGAATGGGCATCGCAAAGTAAGTGGAGAGCAGGGAAGACAGTGAGGAATTTGTCTGACACATGGACAAATGGGTGCAGATACACTTCTGTAGAGAGCAGCGGGTCCGTGCAGGATAGTAACAGAAAATGATGCACGTAGATGGATGGGGAAGTGTGTGCTCTCCCTAGGAAGCTGGATAAATACATATGTTGTGGGTACATGTGTGCACAGACGTGCACTGTGGGTGAAGACAGAAGGTGATCCCTGGAAGAGCTGCACTGTCACACCGACAGCACCGCTCCGCTGTCACCCCATTCCCAGCCCTGACCCCCGCTGCTCTGCATGCTCCCTCCCTGGCCCCTAACCCAGCTCCTCCCTGCACATCCCCGACCCAGGGAAGAAATCCCACCCGCCCCATCCTTGCCCTTTAGCCAAATCCAATAGCCAGTTCCTTCCTTCTATTTTCTTTTTTCCGCTGGTAAGTGCAAGGCTGGATGAGCAATCCCCTCTGCTCTGCCTACCCAGGCTTGCCTACATTTTAATTAGATCCTGCAGGTACCCAGCCGCCATCTGCCTTGCGTCAACCTTCACACAAACGAGGTTAGCTAATCGATGCGTCCTTCAATTGCGCTCATTAAGGCGAGCGCACCTACGTGCTCTAACCGGGTTATGGGAGCACGGCTAGCCCCCGGTGCCGGCTGCTGCCTCCATCCGATTTCCCGCAGCCGGCTGACGTCAGGGCCGGGCTGCGGTGGCCGGGCAGCCAGGACTCACCTTTCCTCGCTTTCCAGCGGGATTTCGAGCCAGAGGTTTCCACGATTTTCCCATCGGTGCCAGGGAGCGTGTGTTGAAGGGTGGGGAAGTGGCAAGAGTGAACTGATGGGGGGAAATGGGTAAGATCGTGCAGAAAGAAGGGATGAAGCTCCCCGCATGAAGATGTTCACCATCACTTTAGGAGGCTCTACGCCCTCCGTGGGCACACCAGCCTGCTCTGTGGGGACACGCAGTTGCTCCGCAGGACAAACAGAGGGTCTCCGTGAGCTCTGAGGACTCTGGTCCTCCCAGCCCTGAAGCCAGGTACAGCTTTTGCTGCAGTTCACACACAGCCCACCCTTCCTTCCCTTGCCTCCCCCAGCCCGCTCCAGGCTCTGGCTGGAGTGGCAGAGGCTGCTCTCAGGCCCTGGCAGAGATCAGCAGTTGAAGTCACCTTCCCCTACAAAGGCAATAGCTTTAGCCAGCCCAGCCCCAAAGGCACGCCGCAGACATGTCCTCCTCCACAGGTGGCAACCACATGAAAACCTCTCCTTCCCTTTCTCCTTCTGACAGCGTAGCCCGGGAGGTACGGGACTGCTCACACAAACCCAGGGGAACGGCAGCTGCCACCCAAACCAGGAGCCCAACGGCACAGGAAGACCAAGAGCAATGGACAAAGGATGCAGTGAAGGTGCCCAGACCCATCCCATGGGCAGCTGCAGCCTTTGGGAGAGCTGCAGGTGGGAACGCACAGGGACCTCCCTGGTCTGTGGTGGCTGAGGGCCGCCTTCCCCTCCTGCCTTGGAGTGGGCACCTCTGCATCTCCTGTCCTTCCCTGTGCCATGCTCGGAAATGTGCAGCAAAAGCTCTTCTCCCTGCCAGGAGACAGCATGTACAAGAAGAAGACCATCTCCAACATGACCATGGGATGCTTTGCCATGGTGGTCATGCCAAGCTACCGAGCTGGGAAAACGCAACAGGCTCTGCAAGCGTGAAGGGCTTCCCGGGAGCAGCCCTGCCTGCTGGGAAGGGCAGAGCGGCCCCCGACGTGCCGTCCTGCGCTTGCCAACCACTCCCCAGGATCTCAACGCCCCTCTGTGCCCTAAGGCAATTTTATCTTTCATTTAAAAGTATCCAAATTGTATTGTTTCCCTGTGAGTCAGCCCATTTAGTTTACGTCCTTCAGTGCCAGAGGGGAAATTTATGAGATGAGAAACTGGCTCGAAACGTTTATTTTCTAGATGACGAGTCATGCCATTAGATATATAGCATTATGAATCATAGGAACAGCATCTAATTTGCTCTTAAAGGTATAATAGGTCTGACTCCCCACACCCATACACACACATATATTGGATTGATAGTTCCCCCATAGGATGGCTAGTTCATTTGTTTTGACACAAGCAAGACATACAGGACCATAAAGTCCCATCTTACCATAAGTTAAGCCTATTCATAAAAAAAATATTAGGGAAACGAATGATCAGCTAAGCACATTTATCCTACACTCGATTGCATATGGATCTTTCTCCTGTTGTTATTTTGTGCTCAGGGGGAGGCCATTTGGCCCTGTTTTAGAGCTTAGACGCTCTGCAACAGAATATAGAAGAACATTTCCTTTGTCCTCTGTTAGACCTGGCTGATGGAGGGAGAAGCATTAAGTTATTTCTGACCGTGGGCTTTCTGTTGACATCCCCAGAGAGGTAAATTATAGGACATGAAGGAACCTTTCAGATCAGCATTTGCAGGACTCAGCACGCACCACAGGGGCTGGTGTTTCCAGTTGGGGTACTGGAAAGGGCATGTGTTAGGTGCTTATCTGTGAACATCTGGTCTTCTCCACAGCTGACAGGACTATGAAAATCTGGCTCAATTGTTTCTTTGAGTCTAGGTTTCTTTGTGGTTGGTATGCACACCTCAGTTTCTGGAAAAATTAAAAAGGAAATACAGGGAAATGAAAAAATAACCACAAATGAGCATGCAAGCTGGACATAGATACGCTGGAGATATCAGAGATGATGTAAATGCTGGCAATTTGGTACATTTTGGGTTTTGCACTAGTTTCCCTGGTCTTTGCTTGTTTGTTTTTCTTCTTCTGAATGTAGAAGGAAGGAAAGAAGAGTGGAAGCAGGCTGGGTCATGCCAGCAGACAGGCTCAGCCTCACGTCCAGGGACACAGCAGCCAACGGAGACATTCTGTCCCTTCCTGTTTGCAGGCTGGAGATGGTGCCTGCACACCACCAGCACCTTCCCCAAGCACAGGCAGGTGCCTCCGGAGCAGCAATTTGATTACCAGCAAATCCAGTCACCCAGCGATGCCACCCCATACAGCGCCTGACACAACCGGGCACTGACCGGAGCTCCTGGATGCTGCCGTGCTCCAAGCAGTCTGTAGATAGCAACAGCAATACTGACTATTCAATGGAAAGACGACTATGGGATGTAGGCTTAAGCAGGGATTTCACAGCCTGAACGGGATGCTACCATGATGATGGGGTGGCTGGAGGAAAAGCTTTCCGTGCCCTTCCAGGAATGCTCAGTGCTGTTCACAGGAGACAAACGCTGCTCCTTAGTCTAGACATCTCTGGGAGGAGGAGGGAGGAAAAAAAAAAAAAGAGAGGAGGAGGAAAACTAAGGATTTCCCAGGCCAGAGACTCTTTCCAGGATCATGCA